AGAGGAAAATGATCCAATAAATTACTGTAGATGTTCTTAAAGAGGGAGAAAGCACTTCTTTTGTTACACATTGGAAAACCCTAACGCAGGGTTGACCACTGGAAATTTCCAAAGTTCGGTTACACCTCTCACAAAAACCTGACCTTAAAATTCCTACGTTTACTAAGTCACGTAGGCTCAGCAGCTGAGAAAAAGGCATTTCACCGTAATAATACCCCTGAAATATTTGCTGCAAAGCTCGTCTAACTCAACTGACAGCAGATATTCAGTTCAATACCAAAATCACACACAGCACGCTTCGTTACGTTCCGACGTTACCTCAGCACTAAAACATGCACACGTATGCCCGCACATGCTTTATGCTGTCTGTTTTCTTGAATAAAATGGAAAAGATAAAATAAAATAATTTAAAATACCAGCTTTACATAGGTTAAAAATGTACTATTCACAGCCACTGAACAAGAAACACACCCAAGGTTGAGTTCATTGTTCATCCATGTCATGCAACTATGTCAGTTGATCTGTACATCCCATCATGAATTCCTTGAGTTTAATTGTATCTTTCTTTCACTTGGTTAAAACTGCCAGAAACCAAAGAGCCTTTGGACATTTCTTTCGGCTGTGGGCCTTCATTTTCTACTAATTTCATGGGTGAAAGAGATGGGAGTGTCTGAGGCTAGCATTCTGTACATTTTTAACAGGCACGTATTTTATTTTTACTGTTGAAGAAAAAGAAACAAATTAAAACGAAAGCTAAAGCTACCAAGAAAAATGTGCCTTTGTTGGTTTTTCTCAGATGTATTGTTTTAGCAAATCTACCTGAGAGATTTCAGTAAAGTAAGTCTTTCAATATGTTCTGAGAGTTTAATTCAGCTAAATATAAATGTTACAAATGCATGTTGAAAATATTCTAAGATAACTAGCGTCCCATGAGGGGGATGCCCCTGCTAAGGAGGGGGATGCCCCTGCTAAGTCACAGTTTTCTCACAATATATTATAAGCATTCAAAATATGGGATGTGGATGACCTACAGAACCTACCTTACCTCAATATCTTTTTGTAACTCATAATCAGTTGTGTGCTTGCTAAAATCAATTAGCTGTGGGGGCTATTTTGAATTGGATTAATTTCAAAAGCTTACTATAGTTAATGATGCTCTCAGTAAAATTCTACTGATAAAGGAGCAATTTTAAATGTTCCACACATGTAAATCACCTGCAATCTTAATGTGTCTTGTAAATAAATCATATTTTCTTCATCAAAGCAGCTCTAACCTGTCATGATCAGAGGGGGGTGTCCTGTGGTGTTTGGCACAAGCACATTTTCAGTCTGTGCCTTGGACTGCACCATGGGGCCTCCATGGATCAAGATGGTTCTGCTTGGCAGATGTGTGATTTGTTTGAGATCTATAGCTTAAAACGTGAATGTTACGTTTCTGATTTGTTTTTGAGATCAAACATGTCATCTTGCTGCTGGAGGCTTCAGCTACACTGTAAGATGAATATTGTTATTCACATGAATATTTTGTCAGTATTTACAGATAATTATCTAAAATTAGTGGCTGAGAGTCAACCCCAATACTTAAACTAAGCCAGGAGTGTGCCATGAAGTTAGAACAGGGTAACAAATCACTTAATGTAACAAATTCCAATTGGATACTTAGTAGGGACCCCCGTAAGTGTCACTTGTTACTCCATACATACTCTGTAAATTACCTATTTTTACCCTCTATGTACTGTATAATTACACTGTAATTACTTACATGTAACTACCCAGTAAGCACCCTGTATGTAGCCCTGTATGTAGCCCTGTAAGTACACTGTACATGTACATTGTCTCACAAGTACTGTGCATGTACTTTCATAAATACCCTTCATCCACCTCCCACCCCCCATAAGTACCATGTAATTACCCTGTAACTATTGTGTATGTACCACCTAAGAACACTGTAGGAAACTTGTAAATACGTCATAAATATCCCGTAATTGCTTTGTAAAAATTCTTTATGTATCCCATTATATGCATCCTGTTATTGTTCTTTAAATATCTTGCATGAGTCACTACAAGTACTCTACAAGTACTATGTGTGTACTGCCTGCAAGCAGTCTTATCCTGTGACACCATGTTGTGTCTCCATCCCAAAATCTTAAAATAAAAAGAGTGTTGAAATTAGTTTTTTAACTGTTTCATCATAAATTGCTGAACTTATTGGGCTCGAATTATATTTTGCTTTGTCAAGGTTGCAGGTTCCCTTCCCACATGCACTCTGTATGGAGTTTGCATGATCTTCTTGTACATGCAGTGGTTTTCTCCAGGGTACTTTCCTCCCACAGACCAAAAACATTAGGTTAATTGGTTATTGTTGCCAGGTGTGGATGGATGGATGGATGGATGGATGGATGGATGGATGGATGGATGGATGGATGGATGGATGGATGGATGGACAGACAGACTAGAAGTGAGACACGCCCCAGTAAAATAGACACCTATAGCTAACAGATTACACAAAATCTTGTTCGCAGACCTTTGATTTTAAGTTAAGCATTTTTTTTCTATAGAAAATATTCATCCATCCATCCATTTTCTTCCGCTTATCTGGGGTCGGGTCGCGGGGGTAGCAGCCTAAGTAGGGAGGCCCAGACTTCCCTCTCCCCATCCACTTGGTCCAGCTCCTCCTGGGGAATCCCGAGGCGTTCCCAGGCCAGCCAAGAAACAGTCCCTCCAGCATGTCCTGGGTCTTCCTCTGGGTCTCCTCCCGGTGGGACGTGCCCGGAACACCTCACCAGGGAGGCGTCCAGGAGGCATCCTAACCAGATGCTCGAGCCACCTCAACTGGCTCCTCTCGACGTGGAGAAGCAGCGGCTCTACTCTGAGTCCCTCCCGGATGGTCGAGCTTCTCACTCTATCTCTAAGGGAGAGCCCAGACACCCTGCAGAGAAAACTCATTTCGGCTGCTTGTATCCGAGTTCTTGTTCTTTCGGTCACAACCCAAAGCTCGTGACCATAGATGAGGGTAGGAACGTAGATCGATCGGTAAATTGAGAGCTTCGACTTTTGACTCAGCTCTCTCTTCACCACGACAGACCTGTACAGCGCCCGCTTCTCTGCAGATGCTGCACCTTTCTGCCTATCGATCTCACGTTCCAATTTTCCCTCATTCGTGAACAAGACCACAAGATACTTGAACTCCTCCACTTGGGGCAGTGTGTGGGGGGACTGGTTCTGACTGTTGTTTGTGCTTATGCACCAAGCGACAGTTCAGATTCTCCACCCTTTTTGGAGTTCTTGGAGGGGGTACTGGAAAGTGCACCTCCTGGGGACTCCCTTGTTCTGCTGGGGGACTTCAATGCTCACATGGGCAATGACAGTGAGACCTGGAGTGGTGTGGTTGGGAGGAACGGTCCCCCTGATCTGAACCCGAGTGGTGTTCTGTTGGTGGACTTCTGTGCTCATCATGGGTTGTCAATAACGAACACCATGTTCAAGCATAACGGTGTCCATATGTGCTCTTGGCACCAGGACACCTTATGCCACAGTTCAATGATCGACTTTATCATCATCTCATCTGATCTGCGGCCACATGTCTTGGACACTCGGGTGAAGAGAGGGGCGGCGCTGTCCACTGATCTCTACCTGGTGGTGAGTTGGCTCCGATTGTGGGGGAGGATGCCGGTCGGACCTGGCAGACCCAAACGTATTGTGAGGGTTTGCTGGGAATGTCTGGCAGAGTCTCCTGTGAGACGGAGCTTTAACTCCCACCTCCGGGAGAACTTTGAACATGTTCTGGGGGAGGTGTGGGACATTGAGTCCGAGTGGGCCATGTTCCGTGCCTCTATTGTTGAAGCGGCTTACCAGAGCTGCGGCTGCAAGGTTGCCGTGCCTGTCGCGGCAGCAACCCTCAAACCCGGTGGTGGACACCGTCTGTGAGGGATGCTGTCAGGCTGAAGAAGGAGTCCTATCGGGCCTTTTTGGCCTGTGCGACCCCGGAAGCAGCTGATGGGTACCGGCAGTCCAAGCGACATGCGGCTCGGGTGGTCGCTGAGGCAAAAAGTCGGGCATGGGAGGAGTTCGGAAAGGCCATGGAGAATGACTTCCGCACGGCTTCGAGGCAATTCTGGTCCACCATCCGGCGTCTCAGGTGGGGGAAAGCGGTACGCCACCAACACTGTTTATAGTTGGAGTGGTGCGCTGCTGACCTCAACTCGGGATGTCGTGGGTCGGTGGGCAGAATACTTTGAAGACCTCCTCAATCCCACCGGCACATCTTCCACTATAGAAAATAATTTTACTAAAATATCAAGATCCCCAACATAATGAATGAAAATAAATTAAAATTTAGGTCTGGAAAAAAATATGGAATTTTGAAATGGAAAATGTCTAGTGAGCTCAAGACACGGTTCCTTTAATAGTAGGTTTATTCGTTTACTGTTAGGTATTTTTTATTAAAAAGCCTCCATGAGAAATATCATCCATAATAAACATCTTCTAACTGGAGTCTGACTACAGATGTAGCTAAAACTAGTAGAAATACCGGTTGTTTGTCACGTTGCTAATGCTAAACATGTTGAGAAAAGATTTTGGCTGAGTCATGTTTTATTCATCGACAGTCATCGGATCTCTCCTTGTGGATAAACGTTATTTAATAACCGCTAACATCCACTTATGAGGCACCCTCTCTGTCACTGCCCGCCGCTGACGCACGCACGTAAAACCGACGGCGAATGACGTCAACGCATTTGGTTTGCTTTTCAGAAAAGAAAAAAAAATCATTTTCTAAGCGAAATTCAAGATTGTTGCATATTGTTTCCGTATTAGTAGTTTGTGTGAATTTTAAAAAGCGAGGATTAAAAAAAAAAACAGTAAAGCTGGAGAATCTGACAACGAGGTTTTGTTGTCATAGCAACCAAACAAGCCTCCGTTTCCTCTTGGTTAGCTAAACTAGTAAGTTAGCAAGCTTTAAAACAACCTGTAAACTTTATAGATAATTACCTTTAAATAGTATGGATTTAAATTTACTGCACTGTTTTATGGACCTCTTTCAGGGCTGTGGGAATATTTTAAATATCGAACAAAGAGCCGCCTTGCAGACTTCTTTGGCTATTCTGAAGAAAAACTACAAGTTCCAACGAGTCTTTTTCTGGGGCAAAATACTGGGGTCAAAGGAGGACTACTTTATTGCTCAAGGGAGAGGAGAAGATGAAATGCAAGACAGAAAGTATCTGTACAGGTGAGGAAGATATAGATTTGTTCCCATGGTATTTTTAGCTGTTGTTTGTCCTTATTCCTCTCTGTGGACTGTCACCTCCAGCTTCAACTGCGTGGACTGGTTCCTCCTCCCCACTGTCACAGACTCCATGACAGAGCAGGTGGCAAAGGCTGCAGGGGGTTACTTCACAGGAGACCCCTCTTTTGTGTACGAAGCTCAAACCCACAGTTACACAGAAGCAGATAATGCTGCAGAGGAGGATGCAGTGGTAAGCATCATCCCAACACAAGCTGACATGTCTATCAAGGAAAGTGTCATACTGTAATAACTATACATGTTAATCAATCTACTGGCATTCAAAGACAAACTATTTATTTAAAAGCCAAAACAAGCCTGGATATAAGACTAAAGTTAAACAGAACGAGAGTCATTCTTCTCTGGTCATCTTTAGTAATGTGAGGAAGTTTTAAAACCATGCACCCCTAAATATTTTAAAACAAGCGCGACTGTTATTTAGAGACTTTCAAAGTTTTTTGTTTTTTTTTGTACTATGGCAGAAATTTTTTGTCCAGTTTTTTTTTTTTAATCTGACCATGATAGCATATTGTGCAGTGCGTGCTTTACGAAATGGGAAAGTGGACAAGTAGAGCACAAATTTTAGCTTAATAGCTGTAATTTTGACTGAATTAGACATTTTTGTGTTTTCTAAGGTCAGTTAGCTGTGGTGAACTTCCTGAATGGGATGGGCTCCAAAAGTCAATCAGTTGTATGTGTTCCTTTAAAGAATAATTCCTGAAAGTTTCATTAAAATGTGTCCAGTGGTTCATGAGATATTTTACTAGAAGACAAAGTTGGCTCCAAATAGTTAATGGCGTTATTTTAAACAAAGATCTTGTGTAATCTGATAACACTGAAAATATGTGAATATCACTCTCAGCTGCTAGTGCACCAAATTTTAGATGAATATCTGACAAATTGGTGTCAAAGAAATGTTATGTATAATTTTAGTCAGTTAGCTTGGGCAGCCATGTTGAATTGTGTTGACTCCAGAAGTTAGTCTGTTTAGATATACATCTCATAATTACTTTCTGTAAGTTTCATTAAAATTTCTCTAGTGTTCCATGAAATACTTGGCTAAACACACAAACATAAGCCAAAGCAATATTTCTCCATCTTTGCCTTTAAGCAACGGGCAGTAATAAATGAAAAAAAAATGACTCAAGACCTTTGCACAGTATCTTATAGCAGCCAAAGGGATTTAAACATTAGCATTTGGATGAGGTTTTAAGCATTTTATTTTTGGAGGATAATAGTGCACAGTGCCACAAAATCCCATCTTAAGAGTAAAAATGCTTTTGGTTTCAGACCAAAGTGATTGAAGAGAAGAGGCTGGCAGTGACGGTTCACCACATCGATGAAGAAGTGTCTGTGGTACCTCAAGGCGCCTTCATCACGAGTCCGCTTGGCCATGTTCAGATCAACCGCAGCTTTGGTGGTACATTTGCTGCATAGTGCCGTGCCAGTACAGTGACTAACTGTGGATTAAGATTTGCAGCTGCACTGAAATTACCCACTTTTAAGTCATTTTAGTTTCAAGTGGCTAGATAAGACATTTAGTAATTGTCTTGGTTCAACATACTCATCCTCATGATTTATTTTAGTGGGGGCTGCAGTCCAGTGGATGGCTGCCTCCCCTTTTGTGATTCATTGATGGATTATATTTTTTCCACAGGTTTATCTGACTCAGACGCTAGGAAGCTTGACAGTTACATGCACTTTGGGAAGTCCAAAAAAAAGGAGAAGAAATCCACCCATCAGGGTCAATGGAGCCCAGCCATCGACTTCCTGGATGTGCTCACTGACGACATCCCTAAAGGTGAAGTCACACAGCTCCTCCACACCCCATTATTTATAGTATTTAACTAAAACACGTTACATTTGATTTCAAACACTCATGTGTGTGTGTATATATATTTGTATATATATATATATATATATATATATATATATATATATATATATA